ATGGAATGTACCAGTATCTAAAAGAACAGGATGATTTTGATCAGGAGAACTTTGGCAATTGTCTATCAACTAGAAACAGCAAGTAGTAAACTTAAGATGCCTTTTTATTCATATACTTCTAATACCTAAGAAGGGTAGTACTTGCTTAGATTTAGAATTACTTTTCTTTCTGTATCTTTTAGTATGCTTAAACAGACTTTCATGAGTAAAGTCAAGGGAGTCTCCCAATAAATAGGAGGATGGGGGGAAAAAAATGGTAAGGTGTTGTAGCTGCCTTGGTTCTTGTCATCTCCTGAAAACTTCAGAGCTGCAGAATAGGAGCTGAAGTGCTCGTCCTGTCCTGGTAGAACACTTCTTGCTGGCATACATCATTCAGCTGCATGGAGACATTGCTCAGAGCTAAAAGGGTTTGTTTAATAGGTCTTTGAAGGTTCTGGAAGACCAGTCTTTTCCTGAGGTAGATTGGGAAAGATCAGGCTTACAGCATTTAGCTTTGATCATTGCAATTCATTAATTATTTCATTCTGTCTTGCAGTGTCTTCTTCTTTAAAGTCTTTTGAAAAATCAGGTGTCTGGTCCCTCTGGAAATGGTTTAGTTATGTTATCTATAAGTGAGAATCACAGGAGAAGAATCCAATTTTGAGCCCACAAATTTTACATAGTTCGCATTTTCTATGTTGCAATGCCCAATTTATGATTCCCCACCAACCAGCATAAAATAAGTCTGGTTCCCACTTAAGAAGTTGGCCTGACATGATGTGGGTCCAATTTCTTCAGATGTTTGTTGTTCATTGTTACTCATGTTATTAATTTCACAGAACTCAAATGTCCTGTGAAAAGAACTAAAAGAAAAAACATAGCCTAGCAAAATATAGTTGCCACAGACTTGGTTCATCAGTAGAGTCAAACTTCTAATTATCTCCACTTCTGAAATAATTCAAAAGGGGTCAAAATGGTCTTATTTTTCTCAAGCATTATGGTATTACAGCTACTTTTCTACTTTGAAACTGGGCTACATTCAGAATGTTTCTGTTCTGAAATGTAAAACTTGGTGGAGAAAATTCATTTTAAAGCTCATCAAAATAAAGTCTTATGTTTTATTGCTGCACAGCCACTAAGGCTATCCAGAAATTAGTTTTATTTTTAAAAGTTTCAGGGTTTCACCATTTGTTTGTCTTCTAATATGAAATGAACTTAAACCATTGAAAATATTTTGCTTATAGACATGGAGGGTGTGTGTGAAGGAGCACCACAGGTAGTTCAAGTACAGGAAACTGCGTGGCAGCGGTAACACGATGCGCTGCCGAGTCTTCCTTGGCACGCTAGCGGGTCTAGAAGCAGTCAGTTTGCCAAAATATTGGAAGCATAAAATTGCTAACTAAAATAAAACACAAGCAATTCTTCTGGCTCACCACATGAAAGTCTGCTGTGAATTTTAAAACTCTTACTTTTCCTTTATTGCAACATTTATTTATTTAAATAGACAATATTCATTACGTGTAGTCACTTTTAAATGGAAATGGAACAGGGGGAATGTCAGTTCCTGAGTAGATGCCAGGCTCAAGTCACAGGTTCCTTGCTCTGGTTGCTACTGCTGCCACTGTCTTTACAGTAATACGCATATTACCTGTCACTATTTTCTGTGCAGTCCTTGCTATATGTCAAGTACATACAGCCATGTCACCTTTCTGTACAAGCGTGTAGTCATTTTAAGCATGTAATGATTTGTAACTTTAAAGTGATAAAGAGATTCTAAATAATTGCAACTTTAATAATTGCTGCTGCTATAATCTTGGTTGCCAAGATATATTTCAAGTTACAGTCCATAAAATACAAAATAGAGAGCTAGTTTTATTCCTTTATTTTTCAGCCCTGCATCACATTTACATTTTTCTATCAAACACCCTCATACACTGTCCTGGGAATATTACACAATGTTCCAGTGTAAGGCACATCTTGTTATGAGACTGATTGAGAACAGGATTAGCATGGAGTTCATGCTACAGGTATGTATTTAAATGATCATGTGGAATATAGACAACATTTTGTCTTTAGTTGCATTTTTATTCATTAAATATATTTTAAGGAAGAGCAAAATGTTATCATAGGATTCAATTTGTATTTTCAGTTTTAGCAGGAGAGAACAAACATAAAACGTAGGTAATTTGTGTTGGCATAAGGTTAGCTATTATTCTTATACCTAACTTCTAATGCTTTTTATATATTGCATATTGTCTTTAATGTTAAGATATTTCATTGCTTTGCATTACTGTGGTTGGTTGTTCACAGTGAGGACCTGTTCTACTGGCGACAGCTGTTGTTGCTGTGAGCTAATCTAATCAAATTATAAATAATGGAAGTAGTGAGAGTCCAGCTTCTGCTTTCACCACTGTATAAAATTTTCAGTGCTAGAGGGAACGTAGATCTTTATAGTAGAAGAAGCAGTTGAATAGAAGATTGTAACTGTGTTCTGAAATGCTAAACATCTACAGAGCTGTAGTTTTTTGTCTTTACTAAATAAGTTTTGTGGCATGCCTTAAAAAAAAATAGAGTGCTATAAACAAACACCCAGTTAGAAGCTGAGTGAGATCTTTTCCTGTCAACTTCAGATTTTTTTGGAAGTTTTTGTTTTGTTTAAGGAAAACATGTATATGCTTGTACTAGAGCTGTTATAAGCAGTTTTCAGGTTGAAAATGCAGCACATGCACATTTTTTTAAAGCTTTCCTTACATAAATTGTAATTATTGATTGGAGTTTTTAAAGAGCAATAGCAAAGCAGAGAACCTGATGACTGCTTTATTTCTGAAAAGCAGGTATTTTGACGGATTTCCTGTGTATTTGTAACTGAACAAGTTGATGCTTTGAAAAAGCTCACGTGGAAAGAACTGGTTAAAAATGCATCCCTTAACTACCTGCATTATAAGTTGGTCATTGAAGACCATACCTGATTGCAGTGGGTGACCTCACAAATTAGTTGCTTTCCAAGTATTGAGGTGCCTAGAACTAGGAAATGGATGCCAAAAAGTGTTCCTGTATTCCACTTGGAATTCAACTCTGTTTTTTACAAAGCTGCGTGTTAGGTTGTACCTTTAACAGTGCTAAGCAAAGAAGATGGTTTTAGTTTAATTTTGGTACCATAAAGCATTTTTCATGTTAAAAAGCTGAGGGTTCAGAGCTTTATCAGCATCATGGATGGTTTGCCTTATGCAAAAATACATTGGTGTCTGCAAACCACAATTTCTGATACGGACAAGCAAATAATTTTCTGAAATGTCTTTATTTTGAAAGACTTTTTGAGGTGAGTTATCAGAGAATGAGTTTATTGGCCTTTAGTTGCAATTCAGCTGCAGTTAAACAGAAAAGCTTATTTTATATATTGAAGTATTTAGTGAAAGCAGTAACTTGTTATCATTTTAGGTTTTCAACAAGTTGTTGAGTCTGGCCAGCACTGCTTCGTCTCAGAAGTTCCAGTCACACATGTGGAGTCAGATGTTGGTTTCCACATCTGGGTTTTTGAAATCTATCTCAAATGTCTCTGGCAAAGACATCCAACCTTTAATAAAGCAGTGGGTGTATCCTTTTTATTCTTGGTCTGGATTGTTCATATGGAGAATGATTTTTATTTTTTTTTAATTGGCACTGTTGAATCTGAAGAAAGGTATGAAATATCTTTGCTTAAAACAGTGAAGTACAATGTTTGAATTAGATATATATATATAAGCCATAGGTTCACACTCCTTTCATAGTCATTTAGAGTCTACTGGCTTTTTGCATGTTCTTTAGTAGAAGAGATTTCATGATTTTAAGTTTTACTTTGAAAGAAGCACAAGAGCTCTGCTGGAATTCAAGGCCAAATTATACTAAAGGGATTCCAGAGGACACTGCCCATAGAAATATGCTGAAGTCTGACATGGAAAGTGCTATAGTCTGGTGCATTTTAAGATGTGATTTCCAGTAAACCACCATGAAATAAGTAACCTAAAGTAAAGATTGATAGATTAAAATACACTACATTTAATAACTTGGTAGCTTGTGTTAATATTACAGTTTCAGGTAAAATAAACCTCTGTATGTTAACTCTTCAAATAACAGTGATAGTAGTAAAGAAATAGGTTTTATTGTTTTGAATTAATATGAGGATAAATTTGGATTTGTTCCTTTTAAAGACTTAGTTGGTAGTTTTAATTAACATGACTGCAGGCTAAAACCATACGTGACTGCAGCAAAACCATACCTACTGTTCTAAAAGAAAACAAGTGTAGGTACTTATATTTAGACATTATTTATTTGAACTGACTTAATGTTCATGCATCTCAATATCTAATTAAAAACTGTGTAATTAATATTTATAGAGTAATATGAAAAGTTAGTGTTTTATCTGCATCAAAAGTATTCATACAGTGTAAATGCATATTATTCTGATTTCCATACTTAGCTGTGCCAGGCACTTGAGGTAAACAGGGCTTCTGTATGTGCATCTATTCACACTGCAGCTATACCCAACTGTCAGCATTACTGTCTGAACTGGGCAAATCTTAACTATGTCTGTTCTGTAAGCAAGGAGGAGTTATAATTCTCAGATCTGGGCATTTTTCAGCTTCCCTGGTCTTTGGCCCCAAGGCTGATCCTGTTAGCTGTAAATTTGGTTTAATCCTACGGTTGCAACCTCCCCATGCTTCAAACAGGGTTGCACCTGGGGTAGTAGGTTTTCCACCTTGTAAGACCACAGCAGGTATTTGTATTGTTTGGGAGGGTATCTTATTACTGTTAACTAGAGTTATCTTACTCTACTCATGAGTGCTGTGTTGATGCTGAGTTGAAACCATGTGCTGAAGAAAACACTAAAAATGCCTTAAACTGTACCAGATAACAAAGTCAAGGACCTTTATGAAGGTGGCCACCATAAACAGAACTGGTCTGAGATGTCTAGCCAAAGGACCATATTTTGGGAGAAAAGTTAATAATGTATATAGGATAAGAGGCCTCTCTGAATCTGCAAGCCCCTCCCTCAAATGTCAGGACACAAAAGAAGAGATATTCCTTCCCTGCTTTTGTCTTATGTTGTTATTCACAAGAAAGTTGATTTGAAGAAATAATTGCCTGGGGCAAAAATGCAGACTGATATAATTATTTTTTTCTGTTACATTGTATTCTTTCATGTATATACATACTGAAATATACACACACACACACAAGTGCTCACCATGGCCCAGCTTGAAAAATTGCAATAGAATAAGTGAGTTAGATGTAGCATGGGTAGAAAAAAAGCTAATGTCTACATTTTCCCCTGAGTTTTATTTAACTGAAAGAGGTAGTAAAACAAATCATATTGAGTAAGACTTCAGTAATTTATTTTCTTTTGAGAGCATGCCAAGGATATTGGATGTGGTGCGGTCCAATATAGTTTTTCATAATAACTTTTTTCTTACTAGATAATTTTTGTTGGACTTCAGTTTTTCTCCATAAGATACATGATTGTACATTCAAGAACTGTTTAAAGAAAAAAAAAGTATTTGAAAGTTCATAAGTGAACATAAGTATTTTAATTTCCTGCTTTTCTTGGCATGGGAAATTCTAGGAATAAAGAAGCATAAAGCAAGTGTAAAGAATGAAAACATTGACAGTTTTGTTTCTTATTACTGCATTGTGCATTAGAATTCCTATACTATTTATTAGGGATCAGAGTGGAGTGGTAAAATTTTATGGTAGCTTTGCATTTAATAGAAAAAGAAATGTATTGGAACTGGAAATAAAACAAGACTACACATCTCCTGGGACTCAGAAATATGTGGTAAGGTCAAATTTCCATAGTTTACCTACATGTAAAAGCATGATTTATACATTAATAACCATAATTGTAATGTTAATAATGATCTTGTGAACCTGAAGGGTCCTCTTAAAGTGACAGTGCAAGAACTTGATGGATCATTCAACCATACACTGCAGATTGAAGAAAACAGTCTTAAACATGATATACCTTGCCATTCTAAAAGCAGAAGGTAAGAACTAAAATGCAAATTGCAAGTATTTTTGGTATGGATATATGAAGACATATAGTGCATCCGAGAAATATATGGGGCTTTAAAATTTTATGTTCATATTTTCTTAATCTTACTGAGTAAGATTTACCTGTGATACAGTGAGAGAAGATGGAATTTACTACTCTTTATGGGCAGCACTTTATACACAGTTCTTAATTACAAGTCATTTTATGAAAGTTTTATAAAGAATTTGGCTATATAGAATGAGTTGAATGAAGTCTCTAGTTAAATTATTCAAAATGCGTTTGAATGGGAAATACAAATTAGAGGGAAGACAAATGTAGGGTAGAGAAGTACCTCAACTGAAGGTACGTGAATGAAGCACTTGCATAGTTTTCTGTTAAGAGTGCTAGGCCTTTTCTCTGAACCTCATGAGCAAGAGAGGTAACATACTTCTCAATTAGATTTTCTCTAATGCGTTTTAATAACTACTTTGACCTGTACTTCTCAAAGTTGTGTGCTTATGTGCAATTGTAAAAATGGTGGGAGTCAAGTTTAAACCAACGTAAAGTATTGGTGATTATTATTATTTGAACAAAACAGATGCTTAGCTCAACTTTGTACATGTTTGGTTTCTTTTTTCTGGAGAGAGCATTAATTCATAGAATCATAGAATCCTTTAGGTTGGAAGAAACCTTTAAGATCATCAAGTCCAACCATTAAGCCAACACTACTAAGTCCTCTGCTAAAACAGATCAGAATCTGTCAGGATTGGAAAGGACCAGAAGGATCACCCAGTTCCAACCCCTCTGCCATGAGCAGGGACACCTCCCACTAGATCAGGCTGCCCAGAGCCTCATCCAGCCTGGCCTTAAAGACCCCCAGGGATGGAGCCTCAACCACCTCCCTGGGCAACCCATTCCAGGGTCTCACCACTCTCATGGGGAAGAACTTCCTCACATCCAGCCTGAATCTGCCCACTTCCAGCTTTGCCCCATTCCCACTAGTCCTGTTGTTACTCGATATCCTAAAAAGTCCCTCCCCAGCTTTCTTGTAGGCCCCCCTAAGATACTGGAAGGCCACAATAAGGTCACCTCGGAGCCTTCTCTTCTCCAGACTGAACAGCCCCAACTCTCTCAGTCTGTCCTCATAGGAGAGCTGCTCCAGCCCTCGGATCATTCTCGTGGCCCTTCTTTGGACACGCTCCAGCAGGTCTCAGTGTGGTGAAATACACAAAGCAGTTTTGCAGACTTAAGCTCCGTTTATAATATCTTTGTTAGTATGGTAATAACTTTTTTCCCTTTTTTTTTTTTTTTTAATAGAAATAAGAAGAAAAAGATTCCACTGATGAATGGAGAAGAAGTGGACATGGACCTTTCTGCTATGGAGTAAGTTACCTTGTTGGAGTTTCTCAGTGTGAGATGGAGTCCTATTCTCCTTGTCTCAAGCTTGCTGTTTTGAAGGATTTGATAATCATGTACTCACTGTATGACTGGCCGGTTTCAAGTCTATACCATGTTTCTTTGCCTTCTTTGAGACTTCTGTAGCTTTGAAAACACTGGTGAAGTGTAAAATGCATGGGTTAACTACTGTAATCAGTTTTAAAAATAAAACCTTGGGCGTGATAAGTTGATAAAATAAATTTCTTGATTCTTTCTTACACATTTCTAGTTATTCCTTTCATCAGACTTTATAGGGAAAATGTAAACAAGAATTTGCTTGGAACAAAGTAAGAGCAAATTTTGTTGGACCTCGATTAAGACTGTTTAACTGACACTAAGACAAACAAGATCCTGAAATCTGTGGTTAATTATACAAGAATCCTTTTAGATTGAAAATAAGTGATTAAATGCTTTGTACTGAAATTCATACTGGCATTTAATTTCAGTTGGAACTGTTTAGCACTTGGGAAGCAAATTCATGCTCAGTTTAAAAGCCCACTTTACCCTCCTTGAGTTGGAGTCAGGCGGTGTTCTCAGAAATACTGGAGGTGTTGGTACATTGTCTCCTGGCTGAGGGAAGTACATCTGCTCTTGAAAATTAATGGTGTCTCTTTGAAGAAGGATAGATTGCCTATCACCTTAAAAGCATTGGAGTTTCTCATAAATTTAACCTCAAATATGATGAGAAGTAATTTATAAGGAATATTTTAATTGAACAAGTTATTGTAAAAAATTCTGTATCATAGTTGATGTAGGAATAAGTAATATTTTAATTTTATTTAAGAGCAATTAGCATAAATATTTGTGAGTAGTCCTGATCAATTACGCTCAGATAGCTACTGCATTACACTGAGCTGAGACCTTAATGATGTTTGAACTACCTTTGAACTGCTTTATGATTTTATCCCAGTCACCTATGCTTCGTTTATCCACAGACCTAATCTGTGATGCTGTCATTCTTTTGTCCAGTTTGGGCTCCTCTGCTCAGAGCAAATATGATAGTGTTCATTCTTTTCTATTTTTCTATGACCTATGTATGCATTCTTCTCTTCACTATGCTTTCTTCTCTAGCTACTATCTTGACAGTAATTCTAGATGTTCTACAAATGTGTACAGATGTATGCATCATATTTATAATGATGCTCTTTCATCGTTCCAAACTCTCCTAATGTAGTTTGTGCTTGTTGCTTCCATAAATTACTTCTGCAGTCACCGTGCTGTGTGAATACTGAAGTATATAGCACTGGTTTGGGTGGCATACAACTGAGTAATTTTATCTGTAGGACCAAAACTTTAATACTGTCAGATACTTTAACTTTTATTATCATTTGGCTTGACAGTTCTGTGCATTTGCATGGTTACGCTTCTCAGCCTTTAACAACATTAGCATGTGTGTGTAACATTGGCATGCAAAGCACTTTCACATGTATTGATAAAAAATAGTATATAAAAAAAAAAGGTATTTACTACCAGATTTTTCATTGTTGGATTATTTTTGGTAGTCTTAAAGTGTAAAAGGTGATAAAGTGCTGCTGACTTATGAAAGTTGTAGTGTATGAGGAAGTAGAATTAAATGTATAGCAGTTTACCATGAAATCAGATGTGTAGGTTAAAAATACTGTAACACTATGTTCACTTCGACATGTTAGAGGTTTGGACAGATAGTCCTTGGAGGCTATAGAGTTGCCACCTAGAAGATTGGACCAGGTGACTCTCAGAAGTCCCCTCTAACAATTCTTTTATGGTTCTTTGCATCTAAAGGGCGCTTTAAAAATAACTCGTAACAAGTTAGAACATTTTGAATTTCTTGAAGAGTTGTAAGCTATTAATGTTTTTCCTGTCTGTCTTAGTGCCGATTCCCCTTTGCTGTGGATAAGAATAGACCCCGATATGTCAGTGCTGAGGAAAGTAGAATTTGAACAGTCCGATTTCATGTGGCAGTATCAGCTTCGATACGAGAGAGACGTGGTTGCCCAGGAAGAAGCCATTCTGGCACTGGAGAAGTTCCCCACCCCGGCCTCCCGGCTTGCACTGACAGATATACTGGAGCAGGAGCAGTGTTTCTACCGGGTGAGGATGCTGGCCTGCTTCTGCCTTGCAAAGGTGAGGTGGTCTGCCTGGGAGCAAGGGGGGAAACACGCCAGACTGTCAAAACGTTTGAAAATGGGTCTAAGCTCATCACACTCATTAAACTGGCTTGATATTTAGCCTCTTAAAAGTGTTTGCCAAGTATTTTTAACATGACTGATTTGAAAGGAAAGCTGTATTATTTTAGTCTGTAAATGGAGACTGCAGAAGGCTTTCATAATTGTCAAAATTGAGATGTCAGACATGAAAACCACAAGGGATATTTCCAGATTTCATTAAGTGGCAAAAATAAAAGACTTTTGTTTCATTTTTTTTCAGAGCCAAAGTGTATTTTTTTTTTATTTTATTTTACTGGGAGTTCCTTGGCTTGTCTGTTGAGAACTCTGTGGTGCTGAAATTCATCTTAGTGTGAACTCATATTGCTGCTCTTATATTGTTTCAGATTGAATAGGGGCCATCATGTTGGCCTGCAATTAAATATTAAAAAGTCAAATAACTGCCTTGAAAAGGGAAGATCTGTTTTCTTTAGAAACAAAAATAGCATTAAGAAAGAAAATTAGAAAACCCTGTAGAACAACCGGGTGGAAATGCAGAAGAATGGGAATTTCTGAAGTGACATGTTGACATACTTTTATGGACATAAAAGCATACTTATTGAGACAATTTGTAGAATTCACATTATTGGCATAATGCTCATTAGTAATTTGTATGAAAAATCTCAGGATTACAGATAAGGTTCTTGATTTACAGAAAAAAAGATTATAAAGCTAAGTAAAAGAACTGTGGCTCTGACACTGAATCAAGGTGAAGGAACATAGCAGGACAAAATTGTAGGTACATTTATGTAATTTACCTGTGAGGAAAGTGTAATATATTCAGTTACTAGTTCCAACATCAGGGCATTGGGAAGAATCACTTCCTGTTGTCATTAACTCAGTTTAGTTTTCTCAGCTTGTAAGTACTCAAGTTTTATAATTTTTATTGGAAAAAAAGCCAAGTCCCTCATGTTCATTAGGGGAAGGGGTCTTTTCTAGTGATTTGCAACTTCTAGCTGGATTGTGGTTATTATTGTGAAACATTCTTGGTGTACTCATGTTGATACAGAGAAATGATGTAGTTATAAAACTGAATTTACTACAGTTTCTAAATGTACTGTATACTTCATTGCAAAACAGCATTTCAGTCTTTCAGGCAGAAAGTATCCAGGTAATGTATTAAATCCTCATTGGTAGAGAAGTTAATAGATATGTGTATGTGTCTTCTACATCTTAGGCCAGTTTTTTAATGCTATACTGAATTGGAGGGTGCAGAAATAGTGTACTTGCTGTCTTTTGGAGTTGAAATAATGCAAGACAGGCTGTTTGTGTTATGGTGTGGGGAATGTGCCAACACATTTAATTCAGAGGGTATAGCCTGCCGGTAGAATAAGTAAAAAACTTGGACTCTGTCAGTATTTAAAAGGAAAAAATTCAAATGAGTCAGAACACAGGACTAAAAAATACTGAAAATATGATGATTTAACTACTGTGGATTTAATTTGAAAATACTGTTGGCTGTCTATGGATTTGGCAAAATGAAAAGCTTAAAATAAATAGAAGTTAAAAAACATTTTAAAATTTACACCCCAATTTTACTGGAAGAGTGAATATCTTTTAATTATTGCAAACTTGGATAGAACTTTGAGGCTTGGGTTTTATTTTTACATTGCTACAAAAATTTCATGTTTGCAGTCTTAAGTTTATCATCTTGGTTGTTAAGCAATCTTTGGGATTAAGCTTCCTCTGCAGGAACAGTCATTACATACCTTACAGCAAAGGCTACACCTGCATCTCTAGCTCTATGACTTCTGTTATTACAAGGGGAACAGCTAGTCTGATTGCAGTATTTTCTTTCTCTGACTTTCTTTGGAAGCCTAACTTAGTGGGAAAATGGTTTCAATTTTCAGTAATAAAGCACCCATCTTACGTAAGAGCAATGGTGAAATGGATTGCAACCCATCTTCAAAGAGCCTCTTGCTTTTCTTTCTCTTATTGCCTATATAGTAGCTTTTGAAACAAGCAAAATAATTTAGAAGAGAAGAACCAAATCGATCAGATTTTTCCCTTAGTTTGTGGTGAGTCTGTAACAATAGAAACTCCTACACTGTAGGGTACCTTGGCCCCATTTGTTTGTGCTTACATACACAGTCTATCATCCGACTTAATCTGTTGTCAGGTACAGGAGTTCTTCTCTGCAGGTTTTCACTGCTCCATTCAGCAAATGTGTGAGCGCCAGGGTGCTGGAAAGGCACAGAAGCAGTTTTGTCTTTGGAGTCTTACCACCTTACACCAGAACAGTCTATAGCAATAAATTGGTCTCAGTGCAGTCGTTTTATGAATTACAATGAAAGTCAGAGGTAGCTGTCTTGCCTTTTGCTTTAGGGGTGGTCTTTCAGTCTTAGGGTGGCTGAGGCCTACTTAAAGTCCAGGGTGAGGTTACTGGCAGGGTAAATTTGGGAAGTTGGTATTGCAAAAGCCTTTTTCATCAGTGGCTTCTGTAGAGTCTGAAACTTGGCTTAGTTAACACAGAATTTTCATCTAAACTGTAAAAGAGAAAATAATTAAGAACAGAAGTTTATGATGGATGGATAATTAGTTACAGACATCTTCCAAGTGGAACAATTTTCATAAAATTTACCTGTAATGTAGAGAAGATATGTTGAGGATAGCAGTGAAAACTTAGCTGATATAAGATAATACACTGATGAAAATATCTATCTATTTGGAAGCCGGTATGTTCTTGGCAGTTACCCTTTTTGATTGTGGGGAATGTGTATTTTTCTACAGCCAAACTAAACTTTCAGTGGTGATGTTAATATAATTTTCCTTCCCCTTTAATTACACAGATTGCAAATTCCATGGTAAGTACGTGGACAGGACCACCAGCCATGAAGTCACTCTTTACCCGAATGTTTTGTTGTAAGACTTGTCCAAACATTGTGAAGACCAACAACTTCATGAACTTTCAAAGCTACTTTCTGCAGAAGGTAAAACTTTTTAAAAGAAATGTCAACCATAGGAACATTTTTGTATTTTGACAATTACAGAAACATGGATAACACCATCTGGCTTTACCCCTTCTTAAAAATCCAAAACAACTAGTCCTTTCTTACATGGTGTGTTTGTTCCTTCTTAGTCAAATATCAGTTAACAGAATATTAGCAATTTTTTCCAAGTTGCTGAAGTTAAATTAGGAGTTTCTTCAGAAGAGTGGAGCACATAATTATTTGTAAATATTTGCAAGCTCAATCTTGAATAGAATTTATTGCACACTAACAAAACTACTCGTTTTATCTTTTAGGTGAATTCAGCAACTGTTTTTATTAATTAATGGCAATGGTATACTGCAAAGAAAACCTCATAACTCTTACCTTAAATTGGTGGGCTTCTTAGTTCAAGTCACTGCATAATCCTTTTTGCCCTCTACTTTCTATTAATTGTCTACATTATGTATTGCCACAGCTTGTTTTGATGTTAATGCAGATTTTTACTGAAACCTATAGTTGTTGGGTTTACATTGAACAAAAAAAAATTAATTACAGTGGTTTTCTCTCAAGATTCACTTTATAATTATTGGATGATTGAGTTCATATTTCACAGATGTCATATTCCTGAGTATGGAGAAAATTCAAATATCATTTTCTTACTCTGTCCAAAACAGCTTCATCCTTCTCCCTACATCTTTCTTGAGCCTTCTTTTGTATTTTTCTGCTCTTTTTGTCATTTTAATTCCTCTAGTTTTCTCCTTTTTAATCCCATGTTCCAAGTTTATAGATATAGATTAAGACTCCTAAATCTATGAGAATGGAGCTTAGAAAGCTGCTTAGCTCGTTCTAAAATAAATACCTGATCAACCTAATACCTGTCTGGCTGGTAATTCTTCAGGCGTCACTGACTGGATCTATAGTTCTCATTGGTAATGGCAGCTTAGACATTATGTTCACGTGAAAAGGCCCAAATTCAGTTTGTCTCATAATTAGTTCAGTCATTTTCTGTATTCATTACTTTTCATTTGTTACCTTTTTGGTAGTGCCTTGACATGAGAGTCTTTTGTTGGATATACTGGTTTTTCGAGTGTCCGCACTGTTAATTATTGAGCAATAATTACATAGTTTATTTGGTCTGAAAATGATATATCATGTGTTATGACTTTCAAATTGAAATAAAAGTTTTAAATATTTAAATACAAGTTTTCAGAGATTTACTATTGTAAAATTGTTACTTGCTCATTTTCAGGATGTAGCTCATTTCACTAATGTAAGAATGATGTTGGTATTCATTTTATTACACAGACTATGCCTGTTGCCATGGCCCTTCTGAGAGATGTTCACAACCTCTGTCCTAAGGAGGTTTTAATGTTTATTTTGGATTTGATCAAGTATAATGATAACAGGAAGAATAAGGTAAAGAATGTGTTTATTTTAATCTCTCACTTTTTTGTTTAAAAAAGTCTTAGTTAATATACTGCATGATGTTTTATGCCACTAATGTAAATATCTGCCTAGAAGAGTTGATTAAAAAGTGATACACTAAACTAAACAGTAAATGTTACAGAATGTTCTCTTCTAGCTGACTTTTCTATGGCAGCATTTCTTGCATGTTTCAAAGCTCTTTGTGCTTGAACTACTAAGGACCTGCCTGTCTTCATTTGCACATGTACTTTTCTTGCTTTACTCTTTTTAATTCAAAAGACCCATGTGCATGAGACTAACATGTAGCATGTAAATTTAAGCACTGGTTTGTTGTTTGTTTTTTTTTCACCTTGAGAAGAGTATTTGGAAGAGAAGGAAAAGAAATAATCTTTTTTTTAGCAGTATAAGGTGTCTGAACATCAGCTCTAACTCACAGAATTGGATTGCCTTCATCTAGTTAAATAACAGCTGAAACCCAGGTTAATATTGTTCCATCACTAAATGGAAGCATCTGAGTTGGAAGTGCTGTCATCTAAAGTTCCTTCATACACAGACACCTCTAAAGGGTATTTAGGTGACCTTTAAGATCCTGAGACGATAGAAAATTCCATCTCCCTAGCTAGAGAGGAAGTCTGCAACTGCTAGGAGCTTAGCATAATCTTCCCAGTTAAGTACCCAAAGTTAAATGGAACCAATCTAAAGCATCTTAAGCCTCATTTTCTTGTATGAAACATACTGTTAGAAGACACTTGTGACAAGATTACTGAAGTAAGAGCATAATAGAAGATGGAGAGGTAGAGGGTTAGACACGTGAATGCAAGCACCAGTAGTCAGTGTTTCTGATGCTCACATGTAGAAATAGTGGCTTTTATTTTCCATATGTGGAGAATTTTCAATGCCTCATTTTTCCATTTTTATAAAACAATGTATGACCACTAATATGCTTACATTACTATTAATATGCTTGTATTACAGAGTGAATATTAATTCTTGATAGTATGCCTGCTTGCTCAGTCACTCTCAAGTCCATTTTCAGAACCATGTCAGGACCATTCATAAGTCCATTTTTGCTTTCTCATGCAGTTTCTTACATGGTTTTTGTTTTAAGATCTTGTTCTGTAACAGTGCTTTAGCACTTCTTACTATATTTGCTTGTGTTTACATGCTGGTTTTATCTAGTTTTCAGACAACTACTATCGTGCTGAGCTGATTGATGCCCTAGCCAACTCTGTAACTCCTGCAGTCAGTGTCAACAATGAAGTTCGAACGTTGGATAATTTGAATCCTGATGTTCGACTTATTCTTGAGGAAATTACCCGTTTCCTAAATATGGAGAAACTTCTTCCCAGTTACAGGCATACCATTACAGTCAGGTATGCTTTAATAATCGTTGTACACATGAAGAGAGCTGACACTTTAACACAAATTTTGGGGGGGTTCTGTGTAGTTCAGATTTGAAGTTTTAGCTTGTGTGTCATAATCTTAAATGTCAAATTCCTTCCAATTTCCAAAATTGCTGGTAGTGCAAGTTTGTCTTCATTGCTTTATATTTCAACAGGAATTTCTATCAATGTAGGCTTTTAACAGCAGATGTAAAGTGGTCCTGCTTGTGCCTTTTTAAGAAGGGCATTTATGAACGTTTTGCAAAAAGTAGCCTATAACAATATCTGTAGAGTATATATCTGAGATGTACTCCTTTACATAGAAAAACAGTGCTTCTGGAACTAAACACTGAATTTGACAGGATGGGGAATTTTGTTTGTGTTTCTGCTGAATTCAGAGTTAATGAGAGCTGGGTGTTAGTGCTGTGAAAGTAACTGTTAACATGTCAATTTGGATAATATAATCCTAGAAAAATTGCAGTATTTGACTTTGAGAAAAGTAATTTTATTCTTCTTGTCTGTCACTTTATAACCCTAATACAAATTTCCTCTTTCTACCAAATCTAGCTGTTTAAAAGCTATTCGAGTGCTTCAGAAGAATGGTCATGTCCCAAGTGATCCTTCTCTCTTCAAGTCTTATGCAGAATATGGACACTTCGTGGACGTTCGAATAGCAGCATTGGAAGCTGTGGTTGATTACACAAAAGGTACTTCTTTCAAGTATTTTGACACTTTGAAACACACACAATATAGCCAAAAAATGTAATACTTAACTTATTAATATCAGGTTGAAATGGTGTCCACCAGAAGAGCTTGTGTGATGACAGGTACATTGATAAGAAGCTGAGATTTCTATTAAAGTTTTGTCCTAGAGAATGCAAGTTTTATGATGACGTGGTGAGCATTGTTTCTCAGTGTCTTGCAAATTGAATCTGATACCTGAGTTTTGAAATAATGAGTAGACAGCACAGTGAGTAGTGAGTAGGGGCTTTGCTAATTTCTTTTTAACACTTCATTTTCAGTGATTTTCATTCGACTGACTTCAGCCATAATTGCTAGTCAAAGTTCTTAGTTTTGCTTTACCTTCTTGCTAATGTCTTTCATTTTCCTTTTTGCATGCATCTTATAAATGTTGGAAACTTTGATTGTCTCAATGATTATTCATTGATCCTGGTTTCTCTTTCCTTCTACATAGCTTATGTTTGTGAGATGTGTCCATTCTTTTAATATTATCTTTATCTTAGTTGACTGCAGATTCTTAAAAAATGTACAAGGTAGCTTTGTCAGTTGCCATTTGAAGGTGAAATTCAATCCTGACAAATTTTCTGAAGGCAGTTAGATTTAATGATTTGCATTTTATAAAACGAATTTCGTACCCCATTGAGCTGTTCATTTATTTGGTTTGGTTTTTCTCTGTTCAGCAGATTTGTGACAGGTTTTGTGTTTGAAGGGTTATCCCTACCAAAGTGGCCAAATCCTTCAATTCTTCCTCTGTGAGCAGGCTGGTGATTCAAGGCTCCTAATTATTCCATCTCAAATTTCGTATTTTAATTTTCAGGGCAATAGAGAGTTTCCATTGCTTTTTGCATGAATAATTGTTTTCTCTTTTTTATATAGGCTTTATTACTTTGATCTTACTGCTGTCCATTCTGTCCAGAGTCTTCTCAAACTAGATAGGCAGTGGGAAGTTTCAAGGGAGTTGGAGTCTTTGAGTGAACATGTGGGTGGAATTTGGCTGTACGCTTACAGACTGGTCACACCAAGGGAGGCTGTGCACTGAGCATCCCTCTCAGGCTCAGTCCTCATTCTTGTAATTCACCAGGCCTTCTGGATCCATAACCCACTGCACATGTACCATTTGGTGACCCTGCGAGTGATACGTAGCTAGAATTCCTAAAAGATCCTGCACCTGGGTCAGGGCAATGTCAGACACAAATACAGGCTGGGTGGAGAATGGATTGTGAACAACCCTGAGGAGAAGGACTTGGAGGTGTTGGTTGATGAGAAGCTCAACAAGAGCCAGCAATGTGTGCTTGTAGCTCAGAAAACCAATCATATCCTGGGTTGCATCAAAATAAATGTGACCAGCAGGTCGTGGGAGACAGTTATCCCCTTCTCTGCTCTGATGGTAGTCCATCTGGAGTGCTGTGTCCATCTCTGGGGCCCCCCAGCATAAGAAGGATGTGGTTCTGTTGGAGCAGGTCCAGAGAAGGGCCACAAAGATGATCAGAGGGCTGGCACACCTCTCCTGTGAAGAAAGGCTGAAAGAGTTGGGGTTGTTCAGCTTGGAGAAGGGAAGGCTCTAGAGAGACCTTCCAATACCTCAGCAGAGCCTACAAGAAAGCTAGATATAGGAACTGTGTACAAGGGCGTGTAGTGATAGAACAAAGTGTAGTGGCTTTAAACTGAAAGAGGGTAGATTGAGGTTAGACTGAAGAAAGAAGTTCTTCTGGAATAGATTGTCCGGAGAGGTTGTGGGTGCCCCTCCCTGGAAGTGTTCAAGGCCAGGCTGGATGGGACTTTGAGCAACCTGATACATAGTGGCAGGTGTCCCTGCTCATGGCAGCAGGGTTGGAACTAGATGATCTTTAAAGTCCTTTCCAAGCCAAACTGTTCTATGAATTCAGAACTCTACTGGGGCTGTACATCTCTTGTTAGCCTACTTGCTTTTTTCCTCCCTTCAAAAAGCATTAGCGGAAAGATTTGCTGGAGAGTGGAAAGCTTATTCATCAGCCTGCTTCCTTTAGAGTAATCTCCTCACTAATTCATCCCACCCTTTGGAAAGACAAACTGATAGAAGCAATATTTTCTCATTAAATTCTTGGCCTTTTATGGATGACTTTTTTTAGTTAATATCTGACTTGGATAATAAAGCGTTTGTACTGCGAAGCCATGTAGTACGTCTTTAAAAAGAGCTGATCAAGTGGGTTACTGTATAAGCTAGATAGGGTATGGTTCTTGAAACACTCTACAGGAAGATAAAAAGTAGTAGGAAGATTGCTTGAAGAAATCAGTGATAGAACTGAACATAATTTTTGACTGAGCTCACCGTGAAATCTGGAGATGACAGATGATAGTGGTACTGTACCTAACTGCCTTGCCCCTTGCCAGTGGCTTTTTCGCAGAGGTAGCAGATGCAAATATCTATCTGCCATGAAGTCGCTGCAATTCACAGCACAGCCTACTGCCTAACTGGGCATCAGTGTAACTGCTCAATTACCACCTTCTAGCGCTGAACACATTAGCTTCTGCTCCCGCTGTAAGACGGGTAAGTTTTTGGTGGAGGGGTGAATCCAGAAGCTTGGTGTGCTCACTGACTTTTTTAGGTACCCATATAGAAGTTAGCAGCACTTGTCTCACAGAGCCCTAAACCTGGCTTTGGAAGGAGGAATGCTTGGCCATTATTGCCAAAAGGTCTGATTGTCCTTCCCAGTTACCTGGTTTCCAGTTCATGCTGGATGTAAACCAGCAGCTATCAGATGCCTGCTGCTTGTGCCAAAGCTGGCCTTTTAACAGTTCTTGTAAAGGAAGCTGACAGATTTTGTAATTGCCATAAAAAGGAAAGTCTCTATTTTCTGAGGCAGTGTGGAGTTCCCATGTTTTTCTATCAACTCTCAGGGTGGGAATAGCACTCCCTTCTTTTAAGTTACTTTAAAAGAAGTAATTTCACCATGGAACTGAGTTTTCTTTACTGTTAATAGTAAGGTTTTTTTGAGACACAGTACCTCTCTAAAATGCTTGAGGCAGTATATAAGGACTTGGACAGTTGATTTGATGTGAACAGGCTTTATTAACTTTTTAAAGTTAGATTCTGATATTTATATCAGTTGGTAGTTATGTATACAGCAAAGCAGGCCTGGTTTACACTATAAGGCAAGTAGCAGGGAAGACTTTATTTAAAGCAGAAATAAGTTCAAGAAGCAAAAAAGACTTTTTTGTTTAACTGCAGAAGTATTGTTTTTCGTGGTTCTCTCATCCAGTGCTGTTGGCCTGAAGGATTAATCTCCTAGACTTCTCATTTTCTAATAAAAAATAATTTTAAAATTCCTTTTGTTAGCAGTCCAAATAATTGCAGATTGCTTATGTTTGTGAATGAATGGGTTCACCATGTTGTGAGTGTTTGCTGCATGGTTACACAATATCATTTTTCTTACACAAAATACAGCTTTGTATTCACAGCTCTAGTTGCCTCCTACCCCAAGCAGGGTTGTTGGCAGGAACAGCAGCTGTTCATGGGGTTGGGCGTAGTTGGTCAGTGATCCCTTACAAGTATGTCCTAGGCAAAGCTTTTCAAAGATTACTCAGATTTTGAAGGCAAATCTCAGATTATGGTCTGGTATATATGGATACAAATTTGCCCTGGCATCATCTAGAGCTGTCTAGCCCTGGTCTAAAAAACTAAGGAAGGCTACTGAGAGGAGAATGCTTGCAGCTTTGCATAGGCCTGTACTTTTCCTCTTTCTATCCTATTAGTAAATAATAAACTAGCACAGATTCCTGTGAAAGAGAGTTGTATATTTCCTATTCCCTATAGAGATATTATACTAATGTATGTTGAAAGGCTATTTGAATGCATTCAGTTTAGGAAGCACACAGTATCAAGATGATAACTTACTCGTGATCTTCCCAAACAACACTCATGAGTGACAGTTACCTGCCAGTAGTTAAGTTGATGGCTGTTGAACAGTTGAGGCATAAAGGAGTTTCGTGCATGTTTCTATCTCCATGTAGAGTAAACCACCTTTTACCTTGAATTTGCACTATAAATAATGAAATTGCTCTTTACTTGCAGTGATTTAAGCTCTTTGTGTGCTAATTCAGGAATTTGTGGGTTTCTTTCTCAAAATCCTTCCAGTTTATGTATATTTATAAGCATTTTATTTTATTTTTCTTTGTAGTTGATAGGAGCTATGAAGAACTACAGTGGCTTCTTACTATGGTCCAGAATGATCCTGTACCCTACATAAGGTTAGTGAGTTATTAAAGAGCCAGTATTTCTACTAATGCTGGAACTACCAAGTCAATTCTTGGCCTGGAATCACTAGAACAGATCAAATGCTTAACTGCTTAAGTTTTTCACAAGACTGTTTTTAATTCTTGTTATTTTATATAAATTGAAACATTCTGATGTTCCAACAGTTCACATCACAAAAATCAATATACTCTGTTCTTATTCTCCATTATATTGTTTTTGTCTTCTGTGTTCTATTCCTGTGGTGGAAATCTGAAATTAGAGGTTGTTGCCTAAACAAAGGATATTAATCTGATGTTGCATATGGCAAGAAGACTTTGTCATATTTAGAAAAGATAAAAGTTGAGGCACAGTGCACACAATGTTTTGCCAGCAAGAAGTGTAAAGCAATTGTTAGACTGTAGATGGGGTGAAAGGATAACATGAAAATAAAGTGTAATGTCTCGTATTGCCTGTTTGGACTTTGCTTTCACCAGAGAGGGACTGGATATTTTAGCACTTTCATTATAAACCTTTGAATACCAAGGTTCATAATTATTGGTTTTGCCCCAAACACTTTCTTCTTATGGTCACCATTAAAATACTGAGTTTCGAAGATAAATAGTATTGCTTTTACTGTCTCTCTGTAGGTGACTTCTCACAAAGATCATAGCTGCAAGATTGTTCTCTGGTTTATTTCTGTCATTCTTGTTAATGCAAGTACATACACTTAGACTTGCTAGTGGAGATTTAACGTCAGCCTGGGAAGGAGACTTAGTTTGATTTGTAACTTTTTAAAGAGGAGTTTAAATTTTTAATTGAGTGTAACATGTAAGCCTCTTCTGAAAGAAATGGAAAAAGAAACCTGTAGAGTTTTCTTGTCCCATATGTGTAAGACAGCAAGGGAAACACTGGCTCTACACGTAAAATAGTTAAAATAATAAGTGAGGGATCAAGTAATTATTCTCATTCATAAAATGTCAAGGCCAAATTTAAAGAAAGAAAGGAGGGAAAATGTGTCTACTTTTAGCTCAGTGTGTAAATATTGTAAGCAGACATGGTAGGTGCAGAGTCTGTGCACACCAGTGTAGGTGAAGAGGTGACAGTGTTCCTTTCCAGAAAGATGTACAAGTCACTGGGTTGGCTCCTGCCGTTTTGCAGCAGTTGTCACCATTTAAAATTATTTTAAAGTTCTTTGGTGTCAGTATGAAAGGAGTTCATTTGCCAGTGTTGTTCCTGGTTTGTAATTATCAAGTCAGTGTGCAAAAAAGTTCCTTGCTGAACAGGAGAGCATAATGTAACCTATAGTTCTGTACCAAACTGTTAAAAATGATGTCTAGTAACATCCTGCTGCTTTGCTTATTACTTTTTATCTTTAAATTGCGTTACTGATGGTAAATCTGTGTCACTGCATATTGTGGACAGAAGGAAGAGCTAAAAGCATGAAACATTGGTTAAAATTTTGGAAGAAATTCTGTATTTGGATAAGATTGTAAGAATAGTGCCAACTGAACCGAATTTGTATTTTTAGTGTATTCATTTGGATTTAATAAAGATTTTTTTTCTATTCTTTTTTCAGACATAAGATTCTGGATATGCTGACTAAGAATCCACCATTTACCAAGAACATGGAGTCCCCTTTATGTAACGAAGCTTTGGTGGATCAGCTTTGGAAACTGATGAATTCAGGTTGGTTTCTTGTTTCTTGTTTTGTTGTTTGGGTTTTTTTTTTCATTGTAATGGTTTCTTTATTAAGTGCTTAAGACTTGCTGTAGAATATGCCAAGACCTCTCTTGTTTTCAATACTTAGAAATTGAAACTTCAATCTCAGAATTTTAGTATCATGTATGTATCTCCAGAACTTTCTCAGGTACATGGGGTACCAAACCTTGTTTTTCATTCTTTTATCTACTGCTGTAGTGTGCTTTGATGTAATTTGGCTTAGAATGAATCTTTGACCCACATGTTGAAAGCAAATGTTTCTTCAAATGATGCTGCATTACCTTTTTCTTTATAGTTTGCTTTAGCTTAGATAGTCTTTCTTTGTCCCCTTTTACTAAACTCTGAGAGAATATGAGAGGATAACATTTGTATGGATAATTTAAATGAGATTTTTAGAAGTGTATTGTAAACCTAAGACTCAATTTGCCATGTGTGATTAGGAAAGATCCTAAGGAGAAAAGGGCTTGCATCTTTACCATTAACCTGTTTTTCATTACTGAAACACTTTTATCCAGTCCTCACAAACTGCCCTTTGACATCCGAGGTGACCTTATTGTGGCCTTCCAGTATCTTAAGGGGGCCTACAAGAAAGCTGGGGAGGGACTTTTTAGGATATCGAGTAACAACAGGCCTAGTGGGAATGGGGCAAAGCTGGAAGTGGGCAGATTCAGGCTGGATGTGAGGAAGAAGTTCTTCCCCATGAGAGTGGTGAGACCCTGGAATGGGTTGCCCAGGGTGGTGGTTGAGGCCCCATCCCTGGGGGTCTTTAAGGCCAGGCTGGAGGAGGCTCTGGGCAGCCTGATCTAGTGGGAGGTGTCCCTGCTCATGGCAGAGGGGTTGGAACTGGGTGACCCTTGTGGTCCCTTCCAACCCTGACAGATTCTGGTCTGTTTTAGCAGAGGACTTTAGATCCCTAATGGCTCAATGGTTGGACTTGATGATCTTGGAGGTCTCTTCCAACCTAAAGGATTCTATAATTCTATGATTCTATGGTCTGTCATGTTACTACACAGATTACATATAAATGTTTATATAGCTTTTTTAGGTCATTGAAGGCTCTCTGTCCTCTGTGTAACATTATTTTTAGTGTTTAAAAGTTTACAGCTACGCCTCAGGGGCTGAAGTGGGGAGACTACTAGTAGTTCAGTTTTGCAGGATTTGCCAAGTGTCAGGCACAGAAAATAAACAATTTTGATGTTCCCATCAGAGTTTGTTTTTCCTTTTTATTGAAAGAAGAATGTGTGCAGTGTTACTTAGAACCATTACCTCTTTTTGCAAGTAACAAATACGGTATACATTCTTATTATGATTCATGGGGCTCTAAGCACTTAAATTTCTATACATCAAGATGACATAATGTTTCAATTTATTTTTTATAAGGGATAACTGTAGCATTCCAGTATGCCTTGAAAAAATGTTTGTTAATGTGAGACATAGTTAGTAGCCAGGTTTAAAGCCGTGTGATTCTAGAATCATGAATTGCTTTCATTTAATATAAGCACATGCAACAGGAAACACTCTGACTGATACATATAATCTTCTTTTTCTTCTGTGTTAATCTGCATTAAATTGATAATGCTCAGGAGGTCCAAAGATGGCAGAGAAATGCAGCAGCCAGTCTTATTTAACTTTATCTGTTCTGATGGAAAAGGATAGAGATCCTGAACGGGAATTCATCATATCACTTTAAAATGTACTAGTTTAAGAAGCTGAGTAAATTGGTTTTTGTTAAAATTTTATAATATTTGTAAAAATAATATTTGTGGATGTGTCATTCTCTAGAGAGTATTTTAATGTTAGAAATGTCCAGATTAATATTCATATTGCTTTCACTTGTAACTGGATAAGCATATGTGCAGCTAAGCTTACTCAAAACACTATTTAGGCCCATGAAACTTATAATTTATGGGGAAAGATCTTGTGATTTTTTTGTGCTGTCTTGTACAGCCACATGAACATGGCAGTTGGCACATCTGTGTCTTGTTTACCAGATATAGTTCTATT